TTTGCTATGCATATTGGAGCTGGTGAGATTTCAAGAACACCTGAAGGGATGTCATTTGCATACTTGTCTTAGAGGGATATTCAATGGTTTCCAGGATCTCAAGGTTCTCTATTCCTTCATTATCTTAGGAGGGATCTGGTGGGACATCACAACATGCTTGGATCGCTGCTGCTCTTCCTGTCATTTTGGCCCCAGGTGAAAGCTAGAGATCAGGATTTCTATCTTGCCCCATCCCAACTCCATGAGACTTGAGGCTTTTGTCATCTTCCTTTGGAGTCTGACAACAGAAGCCATGGGCAGCCTTTCATGTTGGCACACAAGGACCAAGGCTCTCTTGTCATCTCCATGGCATATTCTGCTAATGTTCTTCCACTGGGGAACAGGTCTGATGTAATTCTCCACCAACAAACACTCAAGAGGATACTGTGATAGACTGGTGTCCTCTGGAAGTTTGGAAGGGGGTGGTTAGGGGAGAAAGAGAAACATGCACTGTTCATCCCCAATCCAAGCCATTTCCTGGACTTAATAGACTTAATTTGCCAAAAAGAAGCACTATCACACTCTTTCCAGCTTCTCAAACCAAGATGTCTTGGCTAACCAGATCAGCAAAATCAACTTCTATAAGGACAAAAAACCTTGTGCACCCCATTGCCTCCCAAAAGAGATGTCAGGTGTCAAACACCCACAATTTTTGCACTGATTAACATCTAACCCACTTAACAGCAAAAATAAAATTAGCTTTCACTGGTGCAAAAATACAGTGAGTTATGCAGAATGGACTGAAATCAAATAGTAAAGACCGACAGCCAAGAAAGTGGAGAAGAAAGATGACTATGAAAGGTAGTTATGAGGAAAATGATGCTTGGACAGTTGGGGGAGAGGCAAGATGTTGAAAGTGGAGGCAGTGTAATGCAAATCAGGAAGACACTGGGATAAAATAAAACAATCTGAGTCAAGGTTAACCCAACACAGGCGGCCTGCAACCTTTAAGAAGAATAAAGTTTCAGGGGGAAATCAAGCAAGAATGAGGGGGGAGGGAGTAAAGGTATGCTCCAAGACCAAGTGGCAAGTGACTCTCAATGAGCTGGTGTCTCTGCTCTTTGGGAAGCCTGAGAGTCTTGTGTGCATTTCAGCAACCGGACTCCGTGGAGAAGGACCCGCAGAAAAGGATCTCTCAAATTTCCTCTTCTGGCCCGGGTGCAGTCAGTCAACAGAGTCACAGACCTGTTCCACAGCAGCATTGAAAGCATAGGGCTGGTCGGCGTAGACATGGTGGGAGGCACCCGGAATAGCCTGAGGACAAAATATGAAAGCCAAGAATGAGCATTGGATTTGGCATAGGTAAAAACCAGGCCTACTTAGTTCCAGTCTACACAGTTAGTAAAAAAAACAATAACCTATATACTCTGAAGGCACCTGATCTCCTGTGATCTTGGAAACTAAGCAGAGCCTGTCCTGGCCAAAGCTTGAATTCGAGACTGTCAATGAATACCATGTGCTGTAGGCTATACTTCAAGAAAAGGAACTAGCAAAACTACCTATAACTTGCCTGAAGCATACCATACACTTGCACAGGACCTAAAGTCCCACAAACATATCTATGTGTGGGGAGTATTTTTTGGAGCATAAGTAAGTGAATCTGTGGGCAACAGAAAGTGATATACA